AACATAAAAATAATTTTTATTTGTCGCGCAAAAAATTAAGCTCCAAAAATTATTTTTACACATGGGCGATTCCAGCGAAAAGTCTACCGCGTAAAAAAAAATTAAAAGTCCTTTATCTTACTTATTTAGAGGCCGATTTGGCTATTTTTTATAATATATTCTGGTTATGTAAGCAGAAACATTTTTGCCAAAAATGGTCTCGTTAGGTGGCGCCAGGTTCGAATTATTTTCGAAACAAGTATTTATACTCTGATTTGTTGCACATTTGGTATGTTTAATTGAAAGATATTAAGATTTGCAAAAAAAAAATGGAATCGCTGGAAGTAGGTTCGACATAAAATGCATGTTTTCTTCCCGTTAAAAATTCTTTCAACAAGAATAGGTGCGTTCGTTTAAAATCTCCAGCAGAAACCAACCAACTGCCAAATTTCGGCGAAATGTCATCTGTTCTCTCACAAGAGAGAAATATCCAAAATAGTACGCGAACAGAAAATTTGCAGAAACTTGCAAGTTAGACGAACAGCTGATATAATTTTTGTTTACATACAAAAGTGTAAAATTTAAAACGTACGAAAAGTCATCGCAAAGTGTTATACTGACACAGTTTATTGATTAAACAAATAACTACTTATTTCTTACAAGTTTAATTAGTCGCATTTTGTAATTTTTATCTTCCAAACCATCAAATTCAATTTTGTGATTTGTGTAAATGCCAACCAGCTGTTTTTGATCAGCTGTTTTCCTGTTGGCAAATTGCTGTTGGCAAAAATTTTTCCAGCAGAAACCAGCAGCTTCCCCTCAAAATGAAATGTCAGCTTGCTCTCTCAATTTCCCCTACTTTGCAAGTTTTTTGCGTACGGGAACGCAAAAACTTGTAAGTTTTGGTTAAACATGAACAATTAACAGCTACGCGAACGAACCTAATATTAACAAACCTTTTTCATTGGAAATTTTAGTAACGTAACGCCAGCTGATTAAACATAAAGCAGAAAAGATTTCTACATTTCGAAACTTGGAAAATTAACCTTAAACATTTCCACTATTACTACAACATTTATGGGCCTTCAACAAGTACAAAAGCTTTTATACAAATAGTATTGCCCAATTCGCAGTTTCGCAATTTTGTAATCGAAGTCAAAATCCACTTGTTTTTTGCAACGTCACGCCAGCGCGTAAGTTTACTAATATCTTTAAATCGCTACTGCCAACAGTTGTATTTTTTTTACTGAATGAGGGGCCATTTAATTGCTATGTAAATCGAGAAAATCCTATTTAAAACTTTGACATTTTCAATCTTTTTTTTAACATTTTGCCATAAGAGCGCCACGTAACACCAGTTTGGAAATACCCATATTTTTTGGCCAAGATATAAAACTCAAAAGAAAAACGATTATCGTTACAAGTAAATAAGAAAACTGGAAAATACCTGTTTATTTCTGAGGGTTAAAGAAAACTCATTAAATAATTTTAAAAATTTATTTTTTAATAAGCTTATAATCGTTACGTTCCCTGCTTATGTCTTATGTAAATAACAATTTCAGTAATCCTTCATCTATACGTACATTTGTATATATGTATGTAAATATTTTGGGTCCATCTCAAACATGTTGCATGCCCCACCAAAAAGCAAGTCGTAATCGCAGCAACAAACTACATTTGAAATGTCTCACTTATCGCGTTGCCAACTGAGTTTGAAATTAACACTTCCGTTAATGGTAAAATTAAACTTGAAAAAATTAGCTGCATTTGAATTTTGTTGAACAAAAGGAAAGCTCTAAATATTTAAAGAAGATACGAGTAGTAATTTGTTTAAAAACAAACAGATTTAATAAAATTAGTTGTATTGCATATACGCCGACGCTGTATAAATTGACCAACACTCACGTTTGTATGCAAGCCAGCAAGCTAGACATCCAAAGCACTTAGGAAATGTGAGCAAATCAAACAGTATATAAGCGCAGTAATGATTGATATTTGTTGCTTATTAAGAACATGCGCTGTAGCAGAGCTGCTATAAATCTTATTCGACGGCCAGTCAGTTACACGCTCAACTATAGGCATTTGTTTGACAGATATGGCAAATGTTTAGGCCTCTTCTACTCTCGATGCGGCATAGAATGAAAGAAAAAACTAGCGTTTGCCATAAACATGCAGTTTGACCAAAAATGGGCAAGGAATTTAAAGCAACCATACAACCAACATACATACATACATATCGCTAGCTTAGAGTGCAAAGTTGCTAAGTACATTTTTATACCCGAGCGCACTTGTGCACAAGGGTATTATAACTTTGTTCACATAACGGTTGTTTGTAACAGGCAAAACGAATCGAGATAGATATAGACAAATGTATACATAAATGATCAGGATGAAGAGAGAAATCGATTAAGCGGTGACTGTCTGTCCGTCCGTCCGTCCGTCTGTGCACACGATAACTCGAGTAAAAATTAAGATATCTTACCAAATGGCCGAAAATTTAAAAAATCGGACAATAACCACGCCCATATCCCATATAACGGTAATTTGGAGAAATACGAAATCTTCGATAAATCAGTAAATATTAAAGCTAATTTATTCAAAATTGATGCTTGCAACAATTTTTTACCAGAAAATACGCTTATCATAAAATTTTGGAAAATGGGCGTGGCACCGCCCACTTATGATCACATATATGTATCTCGGTAACCGTTCTACCAATTTGTACCAAACTCGGTATGGTTATTGTGCTTGCTACATAAAACGTTCAAAATTATTGAAATCGGACTAAAATTAGGGCTTTTCATATAACGGTAAATTTTAGAAATGCTTGAAACGTCAATATTTCGAAATTTAAGGACGCTAATTTATTCAAAATTGATACACCCCGGCTTACCATGTAGCGGTAGCTTTCGGAAAGGTGAAAAGGCATATATGGAATACTTGCGCCAGGTATTTAATGTTCGGCCCCGCACGAACTTAGACTTTCTTACTTGTTTTTTTTTTTTGTATTTAACAGGAGGAAAAAAACTTCGTATAGCCATTTTCTTCAAATATTTCGCAAATCCTTGAATACAACATTTTGCGTGTTTAAAGCAAAGCAAAACTCCATACGAATAAAAAGGATTCAATCTTTATTAAAAGATTTCGTATTATTTTGGTTTCATCGTATGTTTGGTGCCTCTTTTGGACTTTAAACATATACCTTTCATTGAATATAAGCGAGAAGAAATAAAACAAGTACCTTAATCCTTTTCGTAACGATACAATTTTAATATCCTTTGCTTCCTATAGCAAAATATAAGTTTTTATAAAAAGCGGACTTAGCAACTTTTCACTCTAAGCTAGCCATAGGCTTCTGCTTGTACGTTCTTACATATGAATATGTAGGTACTTACGAACGTACATACACGTAAGGTGCGGCATGGCATTTTATCAAACTCGCTTTTAAAGCCATTTGTGACAGCGAAATAAAAGTTTACATATCGATGGCTGAGTGGAAGATCGACCTATCTCGGCAGCCAGTTCGAAAACGCTCTATCTCAAAAAACTTTTCAAGAACGCCCTATTTCAGAATTCGTTTCAAAAACGCACTATCTCAGCTGCCGATTCAAAAACGCCCTATATCAGCATATTTTCAATACATTTTGAAGTGAGATAGGGCGTTTTTGAACCGAATTTTGAGATAAGGTGTTTTTCAATTAAATTCTGAAATAGGGCGTTCTTGAAAAGTTTTTTGAGATAGAGCGTTTTCGAACTGGCTGCCGAGATAGGTCGATCTTCCACTCAGCCATCGATATGTTGTATAACGACAGCTCAATTATCCAAACATCTCTTGTGAACTTTTGACTGTGCCAAATAATAATCGTTTATTTCAATAAATATGAATAGCTGTTTATTGAAAAAAAAATATATATTTTCGTTTTCTGAGTTTAAGCTTCATTTTAAGAGCAGTTAAGAGTATTAGGAATCATAATCAGGGCTATAACTAAATCCGACCGTACATAGCATTCAAAGTAGATGCTACGTTCGTAGCTATTCGAATTAAATGATAGTATTTGCGTAGATTTTACGAATGATTAATGTGCAATAAAAGCGATTGCATTTAAATCTGTTACAACTAAAATTTAGTAACGCGTTAAATTCTTAAAATCTTAAATGTCATGTCTATGGTTGGAAGTGGTTTATGAACAGAAGTAAATTTTACTTACTTTTTAGTCTTGGTTTCAACTTCATCATTTTATCGAAAATACTTACATAACTTAACCTGAATTGCATACCAATAACAATCATTTGATGTAATTAATCTCTGGTCGAAAGCAATAATAACTTAAGTCCACAGGTAGTCTTCATTTGTGCTGTAGCACACACGGTGGGCATATGCCACACATGTTATTCAGCCCTATTATGGTTGTCGACATCGGCATTATGTATATTCAAAATTAGTATTTACTAAAATGTTGTATTGACGGTGACGTATTATCGACGGATTTGACGGATATTTGATACCCAATATATTGGGTCATACGCATGAAAACTAAGCAAATGCTTTTTCTTAAAATTTCAAACCTTTCAATCGATTTGTTCAAATAAATTTAAGTGAAAGGTATGAAATTTTAAGAAAAAGCAATTGCTTAGTTTTTGTACATACAGCGCATTGTGTCGCTATATACTCCTTTATTACAGGTTTGATTATTTCCCATGAGTAGATTTAGATTTGATATGGAGCAATCTGGCAATGTCGAGACCAATTGGTCAACATCAATATTATTCTTGTTAATGTTGGCGACCATAATAGAAGTGAATAATGTGTATATAAGCTTCTGACATAAAATTAAAAAAAAAAAATGAAAGAACTTTTAGATGGAAGTAAATCCTTTATTAGATGTTCTTCCAATAAACAATCACCCCTTTAATGTATGAATTTTTCGGGATGTGTAGAAAGCTTTTAGTTAAATTCAATTTTAAAACGATTTTTTAAGGAGAAAAAATAAGGATTCTTTATTTAAATGGCCATATTTACCGAATCAGTCCAAATCCTAATGCAGACAAAAGCAAGATGTTACATTCTCAAAAATCGTTGAATTATGAATGTTTCCACAAAACAATCCGTTTCAGTCCTGAGGGTCGATGTAAAAATATACATATAACATCCGAAAATGTTAAAAGTCGTTTACCGTATGCATGTACATATGTATTGCATGCAGTTAAGCCATCCAAAATCTATTGCGGCGGGTCGACATTTGGTAGTAAAACTTACAATACGGTAAGATGCTAATCCAAAATTCCTATCTGCGAAGTAATGATTTAGAAAATAGAAATTTCCTCCAAAAAACATTGACGTTCGAGTTGACAGACTTCATATGTAAGGGCAACAGAACTTTCCACCAATAGACGAATTAATCTAAAAATCCTCCCTCGTTGCTCCACTGTTTTCCTAATCCAAATGCTTCTTTCACACCCAGTCTACTTTAATATATTAAACAAATAGAAAGAAAATCGATGTCAATCAAGTTAGATTCCGTTTTGCTGCTCGGTGTGGACGGCGACAAATTTCATGTTTAAAACTAAAATCCCTGTCCTCCTAGTATTTTTTTGTTTATATCTTGTAAATCTTGTCCTATCCATTATATCCGTCCTTTATTGTATGCAACTTTAACTATTCCTTTTTTAAAAATTCCTGAAATCCATTTATAATTATCCATTTTTTAATCCAAAATTCCATTAAATCCCGAATTAATCCATTTCCTTAATCCAAAAATCCTCCCATACTCCAATCCAATCCATCCATTCCATTAATCGTGAATAGAGCGGAGAGAAGAAATTTATATTAATTAATTAGTACATAGGAATATTGTTTATTTAAATGTATTATGTTTATATGCATGTAGATTAAGATAAATTTACTTTTGTTAGTGTAAGTGTATTCAAAATGTCAGCCTTTTGCACCTGATAAGTTTTTTTATAATCATTTTATAGCTTTTAATAAAAGTATATGCAATTAAGGTTTTACTGGAGCTGCAAATACTTTCCCAAATATTGGAATCATACTTTCAAATTAAATGCTTTTTTTAAACAACTCGTAATTAAAAAGTGTTAAAAAGTTATACCTAATGTTTCAAATATTTCAAATATGTAGAATGTTTTCGATCAAGTCATGCTTGCCTTAAAATATGTACGTTGAATTCCAAAGTAAATTATATATGTGCTTTATCATTTTCGTAAATATGCTGGATTTATCTCAAACGAATTATCGTCCGTACAAAATTTACTTGCTGATTTTTTACTTCTCTACTTTGTTTAGCGGTTCTTGTCTTTTCAGGCTTTAAAAATTTGAACGAGAACGTGACCTTGATCTGGAATATGAGCGTCGAACAGGGGAATACGTGGGAGACCCACGGCGTCGTGGTCTTGGAGAAAATGAGCGGGATCTAGGAAATATAAATTAATATTTTAACTATCATAGTCATATTTAATAAATAAAAATGAAATTAAATACCTGTCTCCACGGTGGTCACGACCGCCACGATCTCCTTCACCAGAATCTTCACGAACGCGTATGTACGATACCTCCCCCTGTGGAGAAATTTGAAAAAAAAAAAACATTAACAAAATTAGCCAAAAACTTTAATGAAATATGAAATAAAATATAATAAAACTTAATTAAGAAGTGTTTTGTGAAAGAATATACACACCTACATACATAATGTACAATTGAATTTACCTCATGAGATCTGAATCGTGAGTCGTCCAATTTCTTGATAGCATATTTCATGTCCTCATTCCTCAAAAACTCAACCACTCCAGTACCGTCTTTGTAGGCGTCAGCAAAACAGACATCTCCTGCTTCTCGCATGTGATCTTTCAAATCTTGCCAAGAGCCTGACGACGGCAAGCCTGTAACCATAACACGGTATTGTGAACGCTTGGTAGGTGGACCACGTCCACCGCCGCCTCCTCCACCCCGGCCTCCATCGTTGCGATTACGGTCGTTCCGATTACCGCGAAAACTACCCGGTCCACCGCCGCGTGGAAATTCTACACGCAATCGATAACCATCGTAGTCATAGCCATCGCGTGCCTTTACGGCATCCTCTGCATCTCTGGCATCTTCGAATTCTACAAAAGCAAATGGCGGACCACGCCTATTTTTCAAGTCCACAAACGAAACTTTACCAAATTTATGAAATAAATCTTGTATATCCTTTGTACGAATATCAGGGGGTAAATTTCCAACATAGATGCGAGTTTCACTGCGAGACATTCTTAAATGATATTCCGGTACTTTCGATGTAGTTTTAAATTTGATAAGACAATTAATTGATTTTTTCCACTAAACACGCGATATTTTACTCGTGTGCTTTGAAAGAATGGCGGACTTTTGCCAGTGAAGCTTGCTAGGAAACTAGTGTAATTTGAAGAACATAACAGGGTGACACTTCTTTTCAGTCGTTTCGATGACCAGTGTTGCCAGAACTTTTTGGGCCGACCGGCTAGATTGGCAAAAAAAAGCGTCTAAAAACGGCTAAAATGTTTTAGTGAAATTTCACATAGACTCTGGCAAAAAACCGCTAAAATGTTTTAGTGAAAATTCACATGCTTTATTTAAATAAATCGCAAGAAACGAAAGACTAGTTAACACCATTAATTTATATCGAGTGTATATTCCTCATCATCAAATGAATCACTAATGTATATATCACCTGAATTCATTAATTTTAAGAGATCGTCATCTACAGTAAAATTATGGCAGCATTTTTCTTCACGTTTTAAACCGTATCTTATATATAAAATAGCGTTTAACGTTTTAACGCACATTGGATTTCTTTGCTTAGGTTTTATTATATTTATTGAACTAAATATTCGCTCTACTTCTGCATTACTTATAGGCAAAACAAGAAAACTAAAAACTAGGTTGCAAAGGTCAGCGAAAGGGTTTTCTCCTAGGGCATTTCGAAATTGATAAACTTCGGCCCAAAATTTTACAGTTGAGTCTAAATTACTCCAGGTATGTAACGTTAACCGTTGCCATTGCATCTCTATGGATGTTATTTCGTCGGCATTATATTTGTGTTTTTGTTGCTGTAGTTGAACAAATACTTTTGGTTTAATTACTCTTAATGCATTTCCAACTGAAAAAAGTCAATTTTTTTAGTGTGGCAATATTTGTAGGGAGGCGTTGGCGTAATTACTTTATTAAAGTGATAATAAAATAGCGACCATTTTCTCGAATTATTTTCTCGGCTTCGTGGTCAAAAGCGTTTGTGCTTACTTTGGTTTTCAAATACTCTTCAAAACTGTGATAAAACTGAGGAAATGGAGCAAGGTATGGCTCCAACGGGGAGCATATAGGATCAAATGGGTCCGCGCTAATAACCACTAGGGAGCATAGATGCGAAAGTAAAACGTTGAGTTAATTAAAAATCTTCATTGGGTCCGCATTATTGCTTTCGAACAATTTGTTTACTTTTTGCACCTGAAAATTAGGCAAATAGTAAAATCGGCTAAAAACGGCTAACTTTTTTTTACAAACCGGCTAACAAATCGGCTGCCGGCTAGATCGAATTTTCTCCGGCTATTTGCTATCAAAATCGGCTAAATCTAGCCGGAAAACGGCTAAAATGGCAACGCTGTCGATGACACAATTGTATGTTCATACTTAAGGTGAAATTAGTCAAGAACGTAAACCTACCGGTACGTGAACCCTAATCAGCTGACACAATCTGTCTTACCATATCGTCATGTAAATGAAAACTCAACACCGCAGAATTCTTCTGTAGTTTAGCCCGTAGAGCAGAAATCTGCAGAATTTAGATTTTTCCGTGTCAGCTGATTTCTTCCTTCTGTAGATGGTTGCCACTTTGTCTGTTTTACAGATGGTAACAAAGTTATAAGCTCCTATTCAAAATACTTTTAAAATATCTGAAATTTACTATCGAATAAGGTTTTTGTTGAAAAATAAGTAGTTTATATTTAGCTAGCATCTATTATAACAAGAAAAATATTTGTTGAAAAGGTAAGTTTATGGCATTGGTGAGTGGCGAAACTCTAGTAAGCAGCGCTGAGGGCTCCAGTAATCGACAAAATTCTGCGTATACAGACCGCGTTTAAGTATAAGTTCAGCGTTCTTGACTAATTTCACCTTTAGGCTGATGTTACACACATCGAAAGACACAAGATCACGCCTTAACGGCCCGTCTCCACAGGCAAAAGTTTTTGCCTACCAACTGTCATTTTTATTGCCTGATAAAAGGGCAATATTTGTGCGTGGGCATTTTTTATCTGGACAAAAGCATTTATAAGATAGTAATTTTTGACGGATTTCATCACTTAAAATATTAAAAAAAATATCGTCACTACACACGAATAAAAGTGAGCTAGTGTTTTGACGGCGATAAAAGGCCCGTAAAAAAATTTTGCGAAAAAAGATGCTTATGAAAAACTTCGGCGAAGTATGTTAAAAGTCTTTGACCGTAAAGTTTTTTTTGCGTCTTTTTTCGCCGTCAACTTTTGAGCTCGCGCCTTTATTCGTGTCTAGTGACGATATGCTATTTCACACCCAAGCAAAAATAACAAATATTTTAATAGAAAACAGTTCAATTTTTGCTTTTATATTGAAATATAGATAATTGTAGGTATTTATTTTAAATAACAAAACTTATTTTATTTTGAATAATAAAATTTTCTATTTGATTGACGAACCATAAAAATCACATAAATCTAAAATTTCCAAAAAATTACAAAGTTGAAATGAACACAGTACAATAAAAGGTAATAACACAAATACAGACCCTACAATAATGTTGTCTCCACGAAGCTATCGCGCAAGTATGCTGTCAAATGCCCCGTCACCAAAAATGCCCCGTCACCAAGTCCGAATAACCACGCTAAGGGCCGTTTTCAACATCTCTGGTTAACACTAATCTCCAGTTAAACATCGTTACCGACTTTACTGACTACACGCATATAACATTGTGTCGATAACGTCGGTAACGATGTTTAACTGAAGATTAGTGTTAACCAGAGATGGTGAAAATGGCCCTAAGGCCCGGTTGTTCAATGTCTGGTTATCACTACCACTACACTATCGACGATTTCGACATCATGCATGTAACATGTGTTCGATAAAGCAGTAGTTGTGCTTAACCGGAGCTTCTACCTCCGATTTGTGCTAATCAGACATTGAACAACCGGCCCTAAGAGATGTTGTAGTTTTAATCAGCTGATAAATATACAAAAACCGCTTGAATGAGCTATACCTCGGACACCGGGCACGCAATGTGTTTTTTTTTGCGTTTCCGTACTACTAAATATTCCTTCCTTTTTGAGAGCGAATTTTTCGCTTAATCTCTTATTACCAGATCTACTCCTATAGATTTTCACTTAAATCGATTAATTATGGTTATATTGAAATTCTGAAATAAAAAAATATATATTTCTGCGTGCAAGGATTCCTAAAAGAGAAATAGCAGACTTCAAAATTACGAGTGATACACACTTTTTTCTACAATGTTATTGCAATGGCTGTTCATCAACCGGTCAGATGTTCTAATGGTTCATGCTGTAGCCTCCAAGTTAGTGCGAAAGTCATCCATTAGAAATTTTTGTAAGTGATTCGGTTGGGTTGCCCTGTAGAGTTTCAAAAAATTTGTTCCCACATTGTTCCCAGCTAAATCATAACGAAAAATCCGCCATTATTGCAAAGTTGAGGTAAAAGTGCGACTGTGTTTTTTGCGTGTTATATTCCTTAAAAAAATATAGATTTTTTATACTTTGAAAATTGCTCTCCGCGAAGTTTTTGCGCATTAAATTTGAATAAATATGTCTCGCAGTGAAAGTCGAATTTATGTTGGCAATTTGCCACCAGATATTCGTACAAAGGATATCCAAGATCTATTTCACAAGTTTGGTAAAGTGTCATTTGTCGACTTGAAAAATAGGCGTGGTCCTCCATTTGCCTTTGTTGAATTTGAGGACGCCAGAGATGCAGAGGATGCAGTAAAGGCTCGCGATGGATACGACTATGATGGTTATAGATTGCGCGTAGAATTTCCACGCGGCGGTGGACCAGGTAGTTTTCGCGGCAATCGCAACGACCGTAGTCGCAACGATGGTGGCCGGGGTGGTGGTGGCGGTGGTGGCCGCGGTCCTCCAACCAAACGTTCACAATACCGTGTTTTGATTACCGGTCTACCATCGTCTGGTTCATGGCAAGATTTGAAAGACCACATGCGTGAGGCAGGAGATGTTTGCTTTGCAGATTCATATAAGGATGGCACTGGTGTGGTTGAATTTTTGCGACACGAAGACATGAGATATGCCATTAAAAAATTGGACGACTCTCGTTTTAGATCGCATGAGGTAAGTTTTAATATGCGGAAATGTGTATATGTTTTTAAGATTTTATAAGACTTATATGCAACTTTATTTAGGGAGAAGTCTCCTACATACGTGTTCGTGAAGATACTGGAGACGGTGCTCGCGGCGGTCGTGATTTTCGTGATAGGTATGCGAAGTTTTTAATAACCCATAATTGTGCTGATTTTACTTTGCGGTTATCCTTTTAGGTCTCGCTCTTACTCGCCACGTCCACGACGCCGTGGTACTCCAACTTATTCACCTCTACGACGCTCATATTCCAGGTCAAGATCTCGTTCACGCTCAAATTTTTAATTTAAAAACATTGCAAATCCTTTGAAATTATACAAACAACACAATTTATAACATACTGTAATGAAGAGTATGATCGGTAACCCTATCACCATATTATAGTCATATATGTAATTCATACGTAGACATAGTACATACATAGTTTTCAACGCGGTCCTTTCAGCTCGATTTTCATAAAAAGCAAATTCTTGAGCGAGCAGAGCTCATTACTAATTTTCAATAAATTATAATTAGTTCCACCGCTGCTCTTAGAAAACAGAAAAAAAAATTATGTACTCACCACTATAAAAATAAAAAGTTTATATAAGTTATAGTTATAAGTTAGCTTCATACACAAAGATACTAATAATAACTAAACTTCAATGCTTTGGTTATAATTATCTAAACAAATAAAATATGGCATTTGAATTATACATATACTTGCATAATATAATAATAATATATATTTCTTTTTTCCGCTCTATTCACGTTATATGAAATGGATGGAATGGAATGATGGATTATTGGGAGTATTTGGATAAGTGGATTTTAAGGATTTGGATGTTATATAAGGACGTATTTTTTACGAGGGTACTGATACTTTGGAGTGTTGAAAAAATCAAGGAAGTGATGATTATGCAACAGGACACACATTTTCGTACAACCTTTTTCCTACGCATATCGAACAATCGTGGGATTTTCTTTCCTTTCTTCTTTCAACTTATCAGGATTATCAAAACACCGCTGCAAAATTTCTCTTTTGTTATCTCTGGAAAATGCGATAACCCCTTATGTGGCAGCTTCCGTCGTTACGACTTTATATTCCCCCTTCTCTCGCTTCGAACTTTTTTCGCATAAAAATGTGAGGATGAACATAATTTCGATACCCCAAGTTCTTTAGGACAGGATGTGGGACTGCGTGGGAGGATTTCGTTACTCAACCTTAAAAATCCGTCGTTAGTTTCCAACTTGATAAAGGTCTTTTACTGCGCTTTGGATTTCGAGATAATTGTGTCTGCGTTACAATGTTACGATTGGAATTCATTAGTGCAAGCTTTCTTATGAGTAGGAAAATTTCCGATTTACCACTGGATTAAGATTACCTTGGAATTGATGCAAATGTTTTTACTTCGTCTCATTAAAAGATTTGGGAAAAAAATAGCAATACCTCAAACTAGGAAATTCTTAAATATACCCCGAAGTCCCTTTTAACAAAATACTCGAATATCTCACTTTCTGCGTTTTATGTGGATTTCGCCATTATTGGATTTAGAAAGGAAAGAAAGGAAAAGTAAGACCGGTACATACGCTACTGGATGAATAGGAAGATTTCCAATTTATCGATGGATCAAACTTAAACTAGGAATTTTTAGTATATAACCGAAGTCCCTTTTAACAATGTAATCGAGTATGTCCCTTTCTGCGTTTCATACGGATTTCACCGTTATTGGAATTGGAGAGGAAAGGAAGGAGAAGTAAGGCGGGTACAAACATGCGTTACTGGATGAACCAACTTACTTTCAGTTTGCCTACAGTCTTTCTATTGATTTGAACACGCCCTGAAAATAAGGATGCATAGACCTTGAATTGGATTGGATTGGTAAATATGTACCAACTAATTAAATGTTGTTTTCAATAGCTTATCTTCCAAAAACCATACAGTTTTGTTTTAAAGACAAAATTATACATATTTAACTAAACCTCTCCATTCCATTTATGTTAACCAGAAGCGTGTAAATGACTTAAATCTATTGTTGTTTCTAAAAACGTCCCCCTTTTGTTTCATTTTTCAGAATTTACACTTTTTGTCATTAAACATATAATTGTACATATAGTTTTGTTGCTATACGTAATCACTATTTTTTTTATTAATAATACATCCCGCTTTTATAGCTATAAAACAAAAACATATTTATATTATTAAAAAAATAATAATAAAACACTCATATATCGCAATAAAGACGGCTTCTTACTGTTTCATTTACAATGGTTGGTATTAAAAAGCAAAATACAAACGCATAAAGCAGAATGCCAACAATAATGTCAGAGCCCCGACTAGTGAATACCCCTCCATCTATTAAAATGAAGAGTATGTACAATGAAATGGCTATTTGTTAATAAAGAAATTGTGTTACCTTTGGCTTCTTCAGTAGTTGGCATTTTAGTGTGGAAACGAACTCTTCAACCTAAACGGCTCGCAAGTGAATGTAATTGTACTATGAATATTTCTTAAATAAGTGCAGAATAAAATTAAATATTCACCTACCTACGTATGTATGCATATATATTTGTACACTAGGGAAGTTCAGTAATATCGTCACGTATGATACTTACCAATTTTATTGAAGAGAATTGTACCGGCACCCACCACTCAATATTACATACAGTTTTATCATTCCCCGAAATTGTGAGGGTGCAAATTGGCTTGGGTGTTATTTATTCAATTATTTTTTTGAACAGGTAATCTCGCGAACGGCTGGTCCGATTTTCATGAAATTTTTTACATATATATGTAAATAGCTTTCAGCAACCACCATGTCATAGGCCAAAAAAAAATTACTCTTTTCCGGTAGGTGGGCCAGGGACCCCATTTGGAAATTGGCACCAACTGTACTATACAGATTTAAGGAAGATTCACCATCGAAACAGATCATTGTTGCCACAAGAACTTCTTCACGGACATAACGCTTTCGTTAGGTTATTTAAGACGTCAATGAAGGATACGCTTACTGACGACCACAAAACCAAACGTGAACGTGAATTTTTGGTGAAAACGTTCGACAAAATGTTTCAATAAAAAATAAATTTTGGGCGGGACGAGTCCGCCGGTTCTGCTAGTCCATTTATAAAGGTCAAGCGTTGGTTTCCAAAACTGTAAAACTTTAATATAAATGGCTCGTTCCAGTTGAGGTAGTGTGGAATTTTCATGCATTGAGCTAAATTGTAGAAATTTTTGATCAATTTCAAAGCCCAATATCTCAAGAAATATCGATGTTAGCGATTTGGTGAAATTGAATTTCGTCATTTACGTTTTTTTTTGTAGCTCTTGCTAAATACGAGAAGGGGACAAAAACCAGAATTTTCGCTTGTGGGAGTTAGTGATACGCCACAATGGACACTGCATTCAATTCGAAAAAAAAGCCTATCACTGACCAAGCATATACCATAAAAAGCTTCTGAGCTGTAGAGTTTTGAAGAAAACAATTTAAAGTTTACGTGTATTTTACCCGGGAAATATTCGTACGCCTTGGCCGAGCACAAAATTCCGAGGTGGGAGTGAAAAAAAAAATAGTCGCGAAAAAAGCACCCTAATGTACATATATGTAAACAATTTAAATTGGCATTAATAATGAATACATTTGTTACAACGCGTAAAACTGGATCCAAAATACTAAAGGTAATTGCTTTAAAAAATTATAACTATTATATTATTCCACATCCATAAATACGCATACATACATATGTAACTACATAGTTAAGTAAGGAAAAGCGAAACATGATTAACGATTTTTTTTGTGGTTGGAAATTGAAGACATGGACTTGGACGATTTTTGGTTTCATCAGAATGGTGCGCCATACCGCACAGCCTATGCCACAATCTATTTCTTTCGCGTTGTCATCGTATTATCAGCCATCTTGGCAATTTGTTTTGGCCACCTCGATTTCGGTAAAAAGAAACCACTATATGGACCACTCTATATAATAGGCCTTTTACTTGCATTAACAAAAAAAAAAAACTCAGTGGGAAACCTTAAAAAAAATGTTGGCGACTTTTATTCATTATAGTCGCATCGATGTATGTCATGGGAACTTCTAAGATTTGTATACATATACATACCGTCGCTGAAATGCAAAAAAGCCGTAACCAACTAAAATTTTTTATTTCATAAAACGATGTGGGGACCTATATAGTGATTCAATGAAATGCATCATAATCAATCAAAAAAATGAATTTTGGATTTCAAGTTACATAGTTACGGCTTTTTGTACTGCAGCAACGATGTGAGATAGGGGCTTTCCATATTAAGGTAACGATATACAGTATCGGTCATATCAATAGCACCCCCATGTCAAAGCGATATTGTTTGCTACTTAAAACTAGTAGCCGTATTCTAAAAAAGTCACAAACTTTAGCTCATCACTGCTGTGATTTCTACTGCGACTCAAAGCTTGCCGCTGCAAAAAATATGCCGCTACAATACAAATTTTTAAATTTTTGTGTATTTTTCTAGCACTCAGTACCGAATTTTTTGTGACACATTTCTCGGCGCACTAGAAATCACAACAGTGATGAGCTAAGTTTTGTGACTCTGTTAGAATAGAGGGGTAGGTGTCAAATGTATATTCACAATTATTTTCATGAACAATTTTTTGCATTAAGTATTAATAAAAAATATAAGTTGCGTTCGATAACAAAATTAGCCAACACCAGCCAACAATCAAAATCAAGAGAGTAAGCGAAAATTCTGTACCAAAGAGATGAAAAAGTAAAAAAGTAAACGAACAGGAAATTAGCCATCACTTGCAAAAACCGGAAGAAGAAGACACACCAGCTGACTTTGTTTATGTTTTATTTGTAAAAAAACTGAAATTCATGTTGCCTCCATGGAAGAAAAAAGGAAAGTGAACGTTGGACAGATCCTGTGGAAGTCGCACACTTCAAGGGGCCTCCCCCTAGCTGAAATTGACGACAACGTTGACGCATAAACTGGCCCGAACGGGGCTTAGTAGCCGCTACAACAACAACAGCAGCACCCTCGTCTGCAGCACATACAGCAGGGGTCCGCCAGGCAACACAACTCACTTACACCCCACATCACAATCGGTCTTACAAGACACGCAAAGGTGATACAATTCAACTGCAACGGACTTTAGTGCAATATCGAGGAGATAACCGTCTTCATGGGCCGACACGGAATATTAATAGCAGCGGTACAAGAGACGAAGCTGCACAGCAAAAGCAAAAGGCTTCGCGGAAATTACTGAAAACACCTTCACTGCCCTACCCGCACCAACCGACGTTCACGAAGGTGAGCGTAAGTTCCTCAGGGTTGTCACTGCTGCTGCAGCCCGCTTCATTACAACAGGATGCATTTCGGACCCCCGTCCGAATTTTCCTGCTGAAGCGGCTGTCCTAGCCGATGAGCGTGACAACCTCCATCAGGCCGATCCCCGAAATCCCCGTATCAGGGATCTCAACGCGGAGATTCGGCAACTAGTAAACGTACATAAGCGGAAGATGTGGGAAGAGCATCTGAAGACCTGTAACTTCACCTCTGGTGTGAGTAAGCTTTGGTCAACCGTGAGGTCACTGTCCAATCCGACTAAGCACGACGACAGAGTCGAAATTTCTTTCGGCGACCATGCTTCGTCGGACCCGGTGCGATACTCGAGCTATTTTAGCCGGCAGTTCATACTGCATCCTCCGGTGGACAAAGCCAAGCGTCGAGTGACCAGAAGGCTGCACAAACTGCCAACAACCTGTGCCCCCCTTGCTTTCACTTGCGGTCAAGTTCAGGTGGCCATCGGGAAGGCGAAAGCCTCCAAAGCCATGGGTCCCGACGGAATATGCATGCTGATGCTGAAAAATTTGGGTCCTGCGAGGGTAGCGTACCTAACGGAGGTCCTCAATTTGTCTATGGCCACTCTCATCATCCCAGACATCTGGAAGGTGGGGAGGGTGGTCCCACTGCTCAAAGCGGGAAAACGTGCCAACAAAGGAGATTCTTATCGGCCGATAACACTCCTTTCCCCGGTAGCGACATCTGGAAGGTGGGGAGGGTGGTCCCACTGCTCAAACCGGGAAAACCTGCCAACAAAGGAGATTCTTATCGGCCGATAACACTCCTTTCCCCGGTAGCGAAGACACTCGAGGCCCTGCTGCTCCCGTATTTCACAAACCACTTGACCCCAGCGAAGCATCAGCATGGTTTCCGTAAAGTGCACAGTACAACAACAGCACTTAACGCCATAAACATTCAGATAACTCGTGGCCTTAACCGAAACCGTACCTGTGAGAAACCGATTCTAGTAGCATTGGACTTGTCAAAGGCGTTTGACACCGTTTGCCATTCCACGCTACTAAAAGATATAGAGGCTTCCTCTCTCTCACAGAGGCTCAAACGGTGGTCGGCAAATTATCTGAGTGGTCGACACTCGTCGGTAATGGTTAGAGACAAATCGAGTATGCTTAGAAAAATAAAACAGGGGGTTCCACAGGGTGGTGTCCTTTCCCCGCTACTGTTTAACTTTTACATTTCATAGCTCCCTCAACCACCAGAGGTGGCATACCGCCACCGGACATAGACGAGACGGAGCTTCATCCTCCTCGGGAGACACGAACGACAATAGCCCAACTCCGCTCTGGCTACTGCAGCAGGTTAAACTCCTACCTGAGTACATTGAATGAGGATGTGCTAAATGAGTGTCCGGCATGCGGAGAGACCCCACATGACTCGAAACATCTCTTCGCATGTCCGGAAAACCCGACAACCCTAACGGCTTTGTCCTTGTGGACCGACCCGATAGAAGCTGCACGCTTCCTAGGGTTGCCGTTAGTGGAACTTGACGACAACGACTGAGATATCAACCGATCTGGGCGGGGTTGTTGTAGCCGCCACAACAACAACAACAACCACAACAATTACTAGATTGTCCTTTGTGATACCACAATCTGAATGACGCCCCGAGCCGATTATGTATTTACGAATTCGGCTTACCTCAATGCCCCAGAGCTCCTCAGGGCTATTGGGGAATTGAGAGCCAAAGTACTTTAACCTTAGCCTCGCAAACGCTGGGCAACCAAGCAGGTAGTGTTGAGATGAATCCACCTCGTCATCTTCCAGGCAACTGCGACAAGCGGGGTCCGGTAGTATTCTCAGCCTTACTGCATGAATGCCGATTGGACAGTGAGCCGTTAGAACCCTCACTAAGTGAGAGCTGCGGCTTTGTGAGTGTGACGAGTACCCTCGACCGCCCCGGCCAGATGGACCTTGAAATCGTGCATGTCTGGTGTTTGCCCAGCGCTCGCTGAGCTCACATCTATCCAAGAGTGTAACACAAGTGACCAATGGCATTCCCAGCCGCTCTATATCCGGCGATGTTTCGCGAGTGCCATTCCTGGCCAATTCGTCAGCCATGCAGTTCCCCCGCAATAGCGCTGTGACCCGGACCGCTAATAAGCCTAATACAGAAGTATTCCGACGCGACCGGAAGGGAGAGAGAGGACATTCCTTAACCAAGTTAGAGCTTAGCTTGGCTATCGGACTAAATGCTCACCTCCCTGACTGTCATAGCACTCTGGAGCAGTGAATACACCGCCTCCTTGATAGCAGCCACTTGGCCTGGAATACACTGCAGAAGTCCATGAGCGTGAACTTAGTGCTGATGGAGAGAACTCTGGACAGAAGACCCGATCACCAAACCTGCCGTAAAGTTTCGAACCATCCGTGAAGAAGTTCACCGCTCCCCCTCCAGAAGTTCCGCCCCTGCCCAATCCTCCTTTGGGGGAAAGTGGGCAGAGAAGATCCTAGGAGCCATTTCGGTGGCGCAGTAATCTGTGCGATCAGGGATGAAATCGAAGTCCCCTAGAACACCACATCGTTCAGTCCTTAAATCTGAGTCTAATAGCTGTTCGCGCCGCGGCAATTTTGCCTGCAACGTCCACCGGCACCACGTTCAGCATTACGTTAAGTGCTATTGTGAGAGTGATCCGCAGTGCCTCACTAATACCAAATCAATCAGCCCTTTGTACGCACTCTAGCTGCTTAGCTAGTGTAGCCTTTTCCCGTGAGTTCCACTAGACTAGGGCGCCATAAAACATAATTGACTTTGGGCGAAATCTCTTACCAATAGCTCCCCTACAGCAATATAAGGCCATTGTTGCCTTCCTTGCCGTTTCCTCGATGTTTGGTCTCCACGACAACTTTCAGTCAAGTTCAAGTACTTGACCTTGTCAGACAGCTGCAAGTGCTGACCTCCAGCTGAGAGAAGAACAGCGTCAGGGATTTTATACTTTCTTTCTTTTTAATTTAACCAACTAACATATTAGTTTATATTTATTTGGAAAAATATTTTTATTGGAAACTTATTTTATAACTCAAGGAAAATATTTACAAAATAATATATTTTACGTATATATACCCAGCAAACATTAGAGAATGATTGGAGAACTAGCCACATTCTCCAATCTCAAACGTTAGAGAACGACTCGAAAAACTATCGAGAATCATAGCGATCTCGACAAAAGTGGGACATAGTTCTTGATTCGAGAAAACATTAATTCTCTAGCCGAATTCTAATGTTGATCTCTAATGGGATTCCAATGTGAATTTCAAACTGCTGTTTTGCCTTGTTAAATAAAACGCTTTGTTTGTAAAATTTGTATGAAATGTAGATATTTGCAACAAAATAATAATGAACTAATTGAACTTAAAAATAATTTTTTATTCATTTATTTTGAATATTGATTATTAACATTTATTTGTATTTGCGTTGTTTCTCGAATCGAATTCTAATTTGGTTCTCTAACTTCGTCATCGTCTCGAGAACGATTAGAGAATTACCCTGGTTATCTAATGTAGAAATCCAAATTTCTCTAACGTTTGCTGGGTAAATAAATATAAGGAGCCCTAACCACCAAAAAGATTTAAGTGATATTTTTTTTTTTTTAATTTTCTTTTTGAAGCAGAAATGTTCCTAGATCATCTAGATGTATTTCTGCATCAAAAATAAAACTTTAAATGCAATTTCGCTCCCATTTTTTGGCGGTTAGGGCTCGAAATGTATGCAGTATACATATTGCTGATCGCTTCCGAAGTAATAGTCGTATACATTAAGTGATGTTTTTTTTTTGCTTAAGAAAAGAAAATATTTTAAAATTATAATAAATTACTGATAGTGGAGTAACTTAATTTAATCTCTTCGATATTCTACAAATTATTTTGGTTTAAAGTTTTGCATAACATGTATGCCATTGCATATTTACTTAATGGATTTAAACCCAATGGGTTATTTGCTTCTTTTAACTTAATATACGTATGTACATATGTACATATGTAACAATATGTATGCAGACATATGTATGTACGATGTATTCTTAAATTCTTATGTTACGCCGAAAATTTTGGATTTTCATACTACGAATAACTGTACAAACTTGTGCAAAATGTTTATATTAAGGAAATATGGTATAAGATAAATCTTTGTCTCTTTTTTCTTAAATATCCATATCTAAATTTATGTATCTACATTTAAATGATCTTAATTTTTTTTTTCTTACTACGTATCATTTTTATGTGTAAACTTGTATTGCATTAACGCATGTACATAATTATATGCTGCTCACCTTAGTGGTATATGACAATGTACTATTTTGACTTAGTGCTAGAGTAGTTGTTGTTATACAAGTAGGTTATTAAATTCGGTTCGATTTCCAATTTTTGTTTTAATATCGAACTCATTACAAACTCCGTCGACACTATGGGACACTTTGGATTACCTTGACGCGTCAAATCTACACACAAATGCATATCATTTGGGCACGTCACAATTATATACGACTCTGGCGATTGTGTATGTGTCTCAGCAATGGCTTGTACGGTACGACGTTTTGCCTCCACTTTGCCGCCAGACGACTCAATCATGCGTACGATTTCGGTGCGCGAAGGAAAAACATCGGGTGTTACGAAGAAATGTTTGCCAGCAAAGAGACTATTACGGACGCTCGAACGCAGTACGGTATCGAGGTGGAACTTTAAATTTTCATCGACAGGTATGTATTGTATTTTGTAGGGTTCGGGCAGTAGGAAACGGCCCGATTTGGCGCTCTCCACCAACCAACTCGATTTGAGTACATAATCTACATGACAAACGGCTTGTATGAGTTTGCATGTGCGACTCTCGCGTGTCATAACCAAAAAAGTTGCGTCCTCTGGATTGTCCACAACGATGCCACCAAGAGTGCTAAGACAAAAAGGGTATTTAAGACGTGGAAAATTAATGCAATTACGATCAACTATACCCGCAGGGGTTGCATACTAATTTTGTATATGTACATAAGATTACAATAAAATAAAAAATAAAGTTTAGAACTGGCAAATACTTACAGCACGGCTTTCTTCAGCGATTCCGGATCGGCCACTTGCGAAAATATCACCTTTGGCGGCTTGTCGTTTTGTGGATACTCAACACATACTATGTTCTCTGGTATTTCCTCCTGATAGGGTGAGATCTTTTGACGCTTAGCCTTTTGCTCGGAAAATGGATCGGCTAGTGAGCGCTTGACACGCTCATGTGCTTCCTGTGTAAGGTTTATAGGCGCCTTCCAAGCGGCTACATATACACATAAGGCAATATGATTAGTTAAACAAAATAGTAAAATTTATAAAAATTTTCCTACGTAATCTACTTACCCATCAAATGTGGCACGAGCGGATAGTCGATCCTAAATGGCGCAGATAACGAATATTGCTGATACTTCTGATTCTCGTACTGCGACATGCCGCTCAGATTGCCAATACAAATGTCCGCCAACCAAACGGCATTGACAACCGGTATATTCCATTCCTTGGCAGCAATGTACTTATCGCCTTCTGGCTTTTTACATATTAGCACAGTGTTGTGTTTCGACAAGTACGATGTGTATATTGCACCACACTCCTCTACCATCTGCTTAACACGGAAACTTTCCTCGCCCTCAAAACCGTACGTTGAAATTATATGCCTTTCCAGTGGCTTTTGGTAACCGAATTGGCTGGGGAATGGTAAATGCAGGGCCTGCCATGGTGGCAGCAGCTGTTTTTTGAAGCAGATATCGCTTAGCCAGTAAGCAGTTATGCAACGCTTCGAGTCACGCAATGCTTGCATTACTACACCGTGACGTTGGGTGCGACAGAGTACATGCGTAACGCGTTGGCAGTAGACTCGTTCAATATCGCCGCCGAATTGACGTATAGTCTCCATCCAGATGGGCAATTCATCGGCGTCGGTTTCATCGTATTCTACAATGTAAAAGGTACAGCCGACGAGAAAGAGGTCAGGCGGTAACTTGAGGTTCGGATTGTGTCCATAGAATTGCGGTCGCGGCGGCAACGGCATATTGGGGCGACCTTGTATGAAGCCAGCTGGTGTCATAATGCCCTGAGGCGCTTGCGTTGCCTGACCCTGCGCAACTTGAGCAGTCGCAATTTGTTGTTGCACACCGCCCGCAATACCTAACTGTTGGTGCTGCTGAGGGCCGGCTACAACTATTTGTTGTTGGCCGGTGCCCGCAGTTACAACGTGGGTACCCGAGGTAAGCTGTGTTTGCAACACGGCGCCCGAACGGCGCAGTTGTAGCTGTTGCTGCTGTTGTTGCTGAAGCATCATGATTTCTTGTGGTGTGCGAGGCGATGCCGACGCTACAACGCCCTGCAACAGTTGCGAGCCCTGTTGTATGTGTGGCGGCGCACCCGGCTGCTGCAGCGCCGCATTATGTTGCTGCGTCATCAAGCGTAACCGGGCCGCTGCAGTGTCCTGCTGTTCCAGTACAACACCGCCTGGTCCGATTTGTTGCTGCTGTTGCTGCGGCTGCTGTTGTTGCTGCTGTAGTATGACTCCTCCGGACTGGGGTGTGTTGCCGGCGACTACCACCTGGTGTTGTATTATTTGATGCGAATGCTGTTGTTGCTGCAGTGACTGATCTGTCGCCGGTGTGCCACTCGGCGCTACCACCATTGCCTGTTGCTGTTGTATCTGAATCGTGCCACCATTGTTGTTGCCCAAGCGACTATTCAACATGTTGGCAAGCGCTGTTTTCGTTTTCAAATTCATTTGCTGTTGCTGAGTCTGTTGCAAAACTTGCTGTTGTTGTTGCTGTGAGTTGACTATTTGCTGCTGCTGTTGTGCGTCGACTGATCCCATTACCATAGTTCTTGGCACCAACGTACTCATTACATTGCCTGCAGGCGTAGTTGGCGCGCCGGGTGTTGGCGACTGCTGTTCCCCGCCGATGGCGTTGGCACCTGCGCTAACTACTTGCAGGCCGGGCTGCTGCTGTTGTGATTGCTTTTGTGGCGTCAATTGTTGCTGTTGCAGCTGTACCTGTTGCACGCGTAACTGCCTCTGTAATAACATTTGTTGATTGGGATCATTGGGATTATATTGGGTGGCAGTTGCAGTCGATACCTGTTGCTGTTGGCCACCAACAATAACTGGTTGTTGATGCTGAGTGATCGGACTTAAGCCGGGCGCAGCACCTGTTCGCACAACAACTTGTCGTGCACCTTGTTGTTGCAGCCATTGGATTTGTTGTTGTTGCGTTAGGCCAGCAGGCATTTGACTTTGCACAATGATATGTGGTGTACCGGGTGTAGGTGCGCCCGCTGGACGTTGAATTGTTGTACCCAAGGCAGTGGCCACCACATTGGGAGCGCCGGGTCGCGGCTGAAAGGGTATTTGTTGACGGATCATCAATCGCTTTTGATTTTGCTGCTGTAACTTGGCTATATACTCCATCTTCTTCACGGGATCTAGTGTCATAAGGTGGGCGTGTGTCTTATCGTCGACTTGTATGACTTGGCGCTGGGGTTGGCCTTGTAACGGGACGGTGCCCGGAGGCATGCCGGGCTGTTGCCACTGCCCGGGGCGTACGGCACGTATGAATTGTTGTGGCGCCTGTAGGTTGCTCATTTGAGGATTGCTTGCAATAACTTGCGTGCCGCTTACCACCACCGGAGTGCCCGGTTGCGGAGATTGCTGTTGAATTGCCGCTGGACTCTGTTGTTGCTGTTGTTGTGGGGACCAGAGCTGTTGTTGTGGCTGTTGCTGCGCTTGTTGTTGTTGCGGTGAACCTTGTTGGATAATCAATTGCTGTTGCTGCCCTTGTTGTTGGTGTTGTGGCGATCGAGCCGCTGCAATAAGTTGTTGTTGTTGTTGCTGCTGCTGTTGAGATAACTGCTGCTGTTGAATAACAACCGTTTGCTGTATGGGTTGTTGCTGCAATATGATCTGTTGTTGTTGTTGTTGTTGTTGTTGCTGTTGTTGGCCATCAATCGAATGCTGCTGTTGCACAATCGGCTTTTGTTGTTGCAATATAAGTTGGTTTTGCATATTGCTGCCAGGCGGTATGGCCATCATTTGTTGTTGCTGTGTCTGCTGTGTTATTTGCTGCGGCTGCTGTTGTTGTGTTGCCTGTGCCGGCACAGCTTGCTGTTGTATGATGATCTGTTGTTGCTGTGGCGATTGTTGCATTTGCTGTTGACCCACAATTATTGAATTTGGTGCGGTTTTGCGTTGCTGTAGCTGCAATTGTTGTTGTTGTATATATTGCAAGCGCTGTGGATTATTTATGATTTGTTGGTTAATCACGATTTGCTGTGGCTGTTGGGTTATGTTCGCATTTTGTTGTTGCTGGTGCTGTTGCTGCAACTGAATACGTTGTTGCTGCTGCTGTTGTTGTTGTTGTTGTGGATTAAGTAAAACTTGTGTTTGTGTTATCATTTGAGGAGACTGCTGTGCATGTTGCACTTGCTGTTGTGGTTGTTGCAACATGCCTGCGCCGCCTTCGGCCAACTCCAAAGATTGTTGGCGCTGCGTGTACATTGGTGGCGGTTGCTGCGGATGCTTGTGCACTTGCGTTGGACTTTGGGCTACTTGCTGCAATTGTTGCTGTTGCTGCTGAGGAGACTGCTGTATTTGAATTTGCTGCTGTTGTTGTTGTTGTGGTGATTGTTGCATAGGATGTTGTATAATTTGTTGGACTATTTGAGGTTGCGGTTGCTGTTGCTGCTGCTGTTGTTGTTGTTGCGCAGTCAAATTCGTCTGATTAACGATGACAAGGTTCTGATTATGTTGATTTTGTGCCAATATTTGTTGCTGTTGTTGCACACTGAGTTGCTGAAATTGTTGTTGGCTTATGATTATTTTCGATTTGTTCGAAAGCGCTATTTGTGTCGGGGCGCCACCGACGCTAACTTGTTGTTGCTGTTGGGGAATTTGAATTTGCTGGCTTATTATTTGAGGTTGATGTTGCTGTTGCTGTTGCTGTGGCGATTGCTGTAAGTTAGGACTAACTATTTGCTGTTGATAGTTTGTGGAAATGCCTTGCACTTGCTGCTGCTGAATAATTTGTTGTTGTGGTTGTTGCTGCTGTTGCTGTGGCTGCAGGGTCTGCTGGATGATGCAAACTTGGCCTCCTGACATAGTCATTTGCTGTGGCTGACTAAACTGCATTGTTGGCGCCGATTGCTGTGGAGATTGTTGTGATTGCTGCTGCTGCGGCTGAGGTGTCCCACCGACTACCATACCAGATGGTTGTTGTGATTGCTGCTGCTGCGGCTGTGGTGTCCCACCGACGACCATACCAGATGGTTTTTGCTGCTGCTGCTGTACAAGCAGCTGTTGTTGCTGCTGTTGTTGTATTGTCATTAACTGCTGCTGTTTTTGTTGTGCTTGTTGTTGTTGCTGCGCCTGTTGCTGCTGAATATTCATCATATGACTTTGAATTAGCTGTTGCCCCTGTACTGTCGACGTGTTGATGACATGTCGCTGGGCAATGATTTGCTGCTGTTGGTTGCCCGGATTGATGACGATCTGTTGCTGTACTTGAGCCTGCTGCAAAGGCGATTGTCTAGCAGCTGGAGACTGTTGCTGTGGTTGCAAGTTTTGCTGCTGCTGTTGTTGTTGTAACTGTTGTTGTTGTTGCAACTGTTGCTGTTGTTGCTGCTGCAACTGTTGTTGTTGTTGTTGCTGCTGCTGAAGCTGTTGTTGCTGTAGCGCTTGTTGCTGCTGTTGCAATGCTTGTTGTTGCTGCAATGCTTGCTGCTGCTTCAAATGCTGTTGCCGCATTATAAGTGATTCGTGATTTGGACTCGGCGCCGAACGGCTGAGCACCTGAGCCACTTGTACGGGATCAGTGGGATCGATGGGTTTCATATGCTGGAGCATTTGCTGCTTACTTTGCTGTGTCGGTGTCGTGGGCTGCGGCATTTGCGGCGACTGAGGTGCAGAACTGTGTTGGGGGCTTTGTTGTTGTTGGTGTAATAACACACGCTGCGGCTGTTGGAAAGGTTGCAAGGGTTGTTGCTGTTGCTGTGGTGACATTAGAGGTTGATGTTGCGGGGAGCCCATTGTGGAGACTAATACTCCTTGTTGCTGTTGGCGTTGCTGCTGCTGCTGACGATTTTGCATTTGCTGACGCAATTGTTGTTGCTGCACTAACTGTTGCTGCTGCTGTGGTTGAGGAGAATGTGGTGGCGGTGTCATTTGGAGCGCCGGCGATTGTCGTGGGGATAGTGGTGGCATCATGTTTCCACCTCCTGGGCCGTGTTGTTGCTGCTGCTGTTGCAACGAAGGCGATTGTGTTTGTGAATTTTGATGCAGGCGTGGTGACTGCTGCATTTGTTGTTGTTGTCGCTGGAGCTGCATTTGTTGTTGTTGCTGTTGCTGCTGCTGCATTTGCTGTTGTTGTTGTTGCTGCTGCAATTGTTGTTGAAGTTTCTGTTGCTGTTGTATTAATTGCTGTTGCTGATGTTGTATTTGACGTTGTAAGGCCTGTTGTTGTGGCGTCAAGCTTTGTCCATTTTGTATATGCTGCTGCAGCTGCAGTTGTTGTTGCTGGAGAATGTTTTGTTGATGCAAGATGTGTTGGTGCAACATTTGCGGTGTCATTTGTACCGTTTGTTGCTGATGAGCAACCTGTTGTTGCGGATGCTGTTGTGGCTGTGGCGACATGGCGATTGCAGAAACATGTTGCGGAGACTGACTCGGGGTTTGTGGAGTTGTTGAAGGGGTTCTAGCAGCTGGAGTTTGCCGTCCGCTCGGTGTTTGCGGAGTACGTGGTTGCGAGATGTTACCAACGACAGCAGTGGGTGTAGGGGTAGAAGTACGTGGGTCTGGCAACGGCGGTGGGCCAGTAGATGTCGGGGTCGAGGGAGCTGTTCGAGGCTGTGGCGGAAGATTGGGGTGTGTTGGTGGTTGTGGCTGTGGTGTGCGAGGAGTTTGTGGCATTTGTTGTTGTTGTATGATTTGTATGTGATGTTGTGGACTCTTAAGATTACGTTGCTGTTGCAAAATATTAGCTGCGCCCGTTTTTACCTGATGCTGCTGCTGTTGCATTTGTATTTGCTGCTGGGCTACAACGTTTGGTACAATCTTTTGTTGTACAATTATTTGTTGAGGTGGCAGTGATGGTTGCATTGCCTGTACAACCTGTTGTTGGGGACCACCAATTGCTTGCTGAATTTGTTGTTGTTGCTGTTGCTGAATGTTGCGTGGACGCACAAAAACGATTTGCTGTTGTAGTTGAGGTTGCGGCTGAGGCTGTTGCTGAGGGTGCGGCTGAGGCTGTTGCTGAGGGTGCGCCTGAGGCTGCTGATGGTGTTGTAAATGAGTTTGTGGCTGTTGAATGGTTTGTGGTTGAGACTGAGGATTAACAATACTGCTTGTTACTACTTCAGCAATTTGAACAGAACCAGCACATTTTTGATTTGCCGCTGTTTGTTGAACCACACCGGGTTGTTCAACCACATTGGCGTTGGTTGCGGGGGGTGTAGGCGGCAGTGGTGGTAAGGATGCCTGTAATTGTGATTTTATATTGGCAATGCTCTGTGCAGCATCGGCATCATCCACTGTACTTCCAAGTGTATTGTCTATGCTGCTAACAATGCCACCCATATCATCATCATCATCATCAAATCCAAGAATTGTAGACAGAGTTTGCTCTACGGAGTCAACGGCAGTGCAGGTTATTGAGCTGGAAGCTGCGATCGATGTTAAAGCCAAAGTTTCTATGCTTGATGCAGACGCATGGCTGACTGCTGTCGAAATGCTAGTCAGTTTTGGTACAGCTTTGGGTCTATCTACAGGTTTAAGCATTCGAGGGTGATAACCATCGCAGGGCAGAATTTTACTTTGTTTCAAACAATCGGCAACCCAATCTGGGCTGACCAGGTTTACCGAGCTCCTGGCTGCATTATTGAAAATATTTCCTCCCACACTGCCGCAAATAAGATGTGTCGTATTTGGTTCGAATTTGGCAGTAACTTGACCTCCATGGAAAGTGAGTATTGCATACAAGCGTTTAAAGTCCGCATTAGTTAAATTTGTAACAGCAAATTTTAGCGACTTAAAAATGCGTTGCGTGCTCGGATCAAAAGCTTTTGTTGATGCCAAACGCCCTAGCTTTGAACTATGTATGATCCATTGTTCTGTTACTGGTATAACATTATAAAGATCCAGACTCATCGCCAGCTCTTCTTCGGTGTAGTTGGGAGCACACACCAAGTGTGTGACCACGTCCGAAAGAAACCGTTTCGATTGCGCGCCCCCATTTTTAAGTAATTTTTCAATCTGAAAGAATAATTTTTAAGTAAATTTGCATGTAAAGGTTACGTATAAAGAAATCATGATTCAATAATTATCGATACGAGTAAAAAAATATTAGCGCCATAAACTTTCAACTTCTTAACTTTTAGTGCACCCTGTGACAAGTTGGCGCTCCAAAAGCAGGCAGACAGCCAACTCGCTGGTCATCAGAAACCAAAGTGGTTAAAAAGTTTTTCATGTGGTTTCTTACCTCTTCATCTAAATTTCCATCTACGAAATAGCGTATATTCGCGAATAGGTTATCACTTATTTTCAAATTTTCCATGTCTTCAAAAACATTTCACACGAGTTATCACTTTTGCCCTTCTTTTGTTTTCCTTTGTACCATGATCACGACCCTCTCATTCACAATTTCATCGACTCATACTCCGGTTTCAAACACTTTTACTTGACTTCGTGTAGTAATCTCCACTTCAAGTTAGTGCTTAATTGCATACAAAAAGCAAAGATTTATTATAATAACTGCAATTTTCACAATGAAAAACACGACAACGAAAAGAAGGAACGCCACTTTACCAATTGCAGAAAACTACGAGATTTCACGTGAAGTTGGCTGGCATTATTGCGGAGGTGCTGTATTTTCGAAAAAGATACCCATTTCCACGTAAATCCAAAGACCGTAAATTTATAAAAAGCGACAAAAAACGTAAATTGGTAACGAACGTAAATCTGCTAGAACAGACAACACGGTGAAATGCAGCAAGTGCATCTGAAGGGTTAAGATAAGGAGATAGTGTCTGTTTTTACATCAATTTTCGTAATTGAATTCTCTATCGTTTGGTGTTGCGGAGATGAATAAACATTTTTTTCATTTACGTTCTTTGGTTTAACGGGCTCATTTATTAAAATTTTGGGGGTATGGCAACATTTCTATCGATTTTCGAATTTCCCCTTTCGAAATGTCAAATGCAAACAAAACTTTAAGCAACAACAAAAGGTCTCTAAATTTTTTTGGCGTCTTCAATCTAATCACAAAATAAAATGCAGTTTTTCTTTCGTTTCCATTTGTATTCATTATAAAACGAAGTTTATGAGTAAAATTATAAAAACATTACAAAGTGCTATTTTGTGACATGATTCGCTTGTTAATTAGATGCAGCCTAAATCCTTACCCTAATACTGTGTGGCTCCGATTCGATATCAATTGGAATTTAAAGAATTATAGTTAAAAATTGGTTTTAATAATCTTAACATAAAACATTAAAATGCAACAAATATTTAGACCTCTGCAAACTATTGTAAACAGATTACTTCAGTAGCATCCAATCACTTCTAAAAAAGCGGCACAGACACCAACCACCTTACACCCCATCGTGGGCCATGCAAATTTAAGCCAACAAATTGTTTAAAATGACCAATTACCGTAGCGTGAGTTTTCACGAATTGTGCCGCGTCTGCACGGCACATGCACAGCAACGTATCAACATTTTTTCCCCAGATGGAAAGAGTAAAAATCTCTGCGCCAAAATCGCTGATTGTCTGTCATTGATGGTAAGTGGTATATACACGCATACATATCATTGTAGCGAAGAATTGTATCAATACAAATTTTTTCCTTCAGGTGGACGAGAAAGACCGTCTCCCGAAAGTCGTATGCTCCATTTGCGTAGAACAGGTTGAGGAGGTTTACAAATTTCGAGATATATGCAAGAATTCCCAGATCATGTTGAATGATTGTTTGAAACAGGCTACTCAACACAATGGAGGCAAAGTGTACATAAAAGACGCCATAGCTGCCAACAGTGGCAAGAGTCTCAGTGTGATTGAGAATAGTAGTGCATCAAATGCACGTCGAAAGGGCCATAATCCATCTGCTTCTAGTACAAACCCTATGCAACCGGTACCCATATCAATTTCACGGGCATTGCCGCAGCAAAATGATGCTAACAAAACATTCATCACAAATAATAGTAATGATATACTCAACACCATTATGCAGTCGATAGGAATACAGGTTAGGTTTGAGAAATTTTTATTGAAAGCGCCAGCATTTAAAAATGATGTACTTTTAATCTTCATACGTATATAGCAAACGGTGGATTCGGAGCAAGTAGAAAAGGCATTATCCCTGGAATACACTATATCGGTGGATAGTAAAGGGACAATGAAGACTGAACCAATGCAGTACAAATCACCAGTTACCCAGACTGCTCAAATTCCTCAAACACTTCAACAACAAAAGCAAAGTTCAACTGCTGATTTAGACCACAAGTAAATAGAAAATTCTTCTGTCTAAATTTTTTTTTATACAAATTTTAATTTCCTACAAAATTTTTCTTCAGAGCACTCACTGAGTTTCTCAAAATGAAACCAAATATTAAGGTTACCCCTATTGGCAAGAAAAGTGCAAAAAAAGTAGAGGAGCCTCCGCAGCAACAACAACAACAACTACAACCGAACGATTTGCCACCGCCGCAACAGTTGCAGTTCCACCCATCACAAATTCAACAATTCATCCAGCAACAAGAACAAGTTCAACTGCAACAGCAACAGTTCCTCACGCAACCTTCAACTTCTGTTGCCAGCATTCAATTACAACAACTGCAACAACAGTTACAACAGTTTCAGTTGCAGCAACAGCTTCAGCAACAACTACAACAAATAACATCCCAATTACACCCACAGCAGACAATCACATTCAGCACGCCTTCGACGCCTGACAATGATAATAGCCCAAGCAAAAACAAAAAGCCCAAACTTAATTTCTTACTTTCTTCCCCTACATCACAGACACTCACAGCCACAATACCGCAACTCGCCATGGCAGCTGGCGCCCAGCAGCCCCAAATTCAACTACAACTACAAACTGCTCAAACACAGCCGCAGGCGGCTGCTGCAACACTACTCTCGAATTTGGCGCCGCTTTTACAGCAACAACAACAGCATACACAAAATTCCGCGAATATGCTACAAACGCCAACAGCCGCAGGAACAACGCTCCTGTCATCACCGAATAAATGCTATTTACCCATTACAATTAAGGATGAATACTCAGACCAGCAAATTGTGGCACATATTGATGCTAAGAATTTTATGTTGCCTGCGACATATCAATTACAAATGAAGCTGCAGCCGCAGATCGGCAATGTGGACGGGCAACCAGTTATGCAATTAACACCAGCATCTTTACCAGCAGCGTTACAGTTGGCCGCATCGGCCCTAAATAATCAACAATTTCAATCGATGACAGGCAATAACATGCTGCAACCACTTGCAGCTTTACATGCACAACAACAGGAGCAGCAGCAGCAGCAGTCACAGCCAGTTACAGTGCAACAGCAAGGGTCACTGAAACCAACGGCACAAGTCACGTCGCAACAAATAATCCGTACAGCAGCCCAGTGCACTAACGATGCTGCGACTTCCACAAATGATCAAACTGAAGATTTTGTTCCACATAAAGTGAATGGCAGCAAACCATTGTCTCAACAAATGAATGACAAAGTAATAAAACAACAACGGTACAGATTGTCGCAGCAGGCTGGTAATGGATCTATTGAAATAACGCCTACAACAAACCTCACTCAGCAAATTATGCAACAAGTGCAACTGCAGCACCAAAAACAGCAGCAGCAACAGCAGGAACAACAAAAGCAGCAACAGCAACAACAAAAACAACGTCAACAGCAGCAGCAACAACAACAGCAGGCGCAGCAGAAATTACGTCAGCAGCAACAACAAGAACAACAACTGTTGCAAGAAAAGCAGCAGCAGGATGTAGCTACAACATTGGCGGCGCAGCAGCAGCATGGTGGAATCACCGTTCATCGCATAACAAACAAATCAACCACGAAGCAACAGCAAAAACCACCACTACCACCGCAGCAGCAGCAACAGCAACAACCAACACAAAACACGATATTGCAAACGAAGATACCAATGTTGCAGAAAAAGGATGTGACGATCAGCCGAATAAGCAGCACAGCGCAAACCCAAGAGCAACAGCTGCAGCAGCAACAAGCGTTGCTAAAGCTTTTACCATCAAAAAAACTCGATGTGAAAACAAAAGAGGCAGCAGCCACAGCGGTACCATTAAAGCAACAGCAACAACAACAACAATCGCAGGTGCAATTGCGTCCAGATTCGCAGCCACCTCAAGCTCTTCAAAGACAGAATATCTCATCTCCTCTAAAGACGGCACAGAAAGCTATCAATACATTGTCAACAACGCCGCAAAAACAACAACAGCAGCAACAACAACTACCACATCACTTAAGCACATCGAGCGGTGGAGCAACGGCAACCGCGACTTCTCAGCAGCAAACCGTATCTAAAGATGTTACGAAATTGAAAACTGAGGGCATAACTGCACGCGGTATTGGGCCAAATGGACTCGAATGCAGCCAATGTGGACGTGTCTTTAAAAAGAAAGAGCATCTGACCCAACACATAAAACTGCATGCTGGTTTGCGGCCCTTCAAATGCAAGGAAGATGGATGTGGTAAGGCTTTCAGCCGAAAAGAGCACCTATTGCGCCATGAAATCTCGCATTCAGGACGAAAGCTATTTAGCTGTGATGTTTGTAGTAAACCATTTTCGCGCAAAGATAATCTAAATAAGCATAAAAAGTAAGGAAAAATTTCGGTATTAATGCCATCTTATTTGTATCCGACTTATAAATATTTCCATTTACTTTCTGCAGAATTCACACGATTGGCGTCTATAATTGTGAAATGTGCAACAAGCAGTTTGCGGTACGAGCATATTACGAAGAACACAAGCAAATGCACGAGAATCCAGAATCTGCTGGAACTGCAGATACAAACATAAAGGTGAATGCTGTTTTATTATTAGACTTGTTTGGAAAAAAACATATGTAACTAATTAGTCGAAACTCTCTTCAAATAGAACGAAAAACCAACGAGTGAGCAAAGTACCAACAGCATGCCTGCTGTACAAAACATGAATAGGCAACAACAAGAAGCACAATTACAGGTTCACCAGCAGTCACAGTCACAGTCACAGTCACAACAACAACACCATATTTCGCAACCTGCAATGACCGCCATACCGCCGTCCTTAATGTCAACGAATCCATCACAAACACAACAAATACAAATTGTACAGCAACCCACAGGCAATATACAATTTCAACAGCAACATCCACAACAACAACAACAGCATATTATGCAACTGCAACTGCCAACTGTTGTAAGTACACAAGATTTAGCGGGCAACACAATTACCATAACACAATCACATGATCCCACATTGAAAACGACAATCGGTAGTCACGATGCAACGGTACTAAATCTACCTTCTACGCTAGCCAACCTTATGCAGCTGAGTCATGCACAGTTCGTGAACCCGGCTACAGGCCAAATAATGGGTCACATAAAAATTGAGAAATAAATATAGTTTCAAGACTTTTAAATAAAAATAGTTTTACACTACTTACATATGTACATTCGAAATGTACACATTATGTAAAAATTCATACACACATATAAACATATGCATAATTACATTAGTAAGGTAGACTTGGGCTATTTTCATAGCGGAAAGTTAATCCACATACGGTATTTTTTCTACCCGTTTTCATTACAAATATTTTAAGTTAACTGTGAAATGTGAGTTAACTCTCCCTTACGAAAACGTTAGTTAGTGCCCATAAGCAATCGATCATTTAAACTTAATTTAGTTTCATTTGTATAAGTTGCAAACATTTGTGGAATATTTACTTTAGTTTTGAGTATTAACACAGCTTAGTATTCTTGGCTCTACATTTTTATTTAATTTTTAAGGTAATTTCATATTTAATTTTCTTCCCTAGTCATACCTATTTTGTACACACACGTCTAAAAGCCATAGCTTAATAGTACGGCAGTAGATTGTAATGTTTTTTTACTTTTATTTTCAAAAGATGAAAATATTTGGTTTGCACATTAAAATTTGTTTTAATATAATTAAAAACTAAGTGTACGCATATACATATGTACATACATACGTATTTTGAAAAAAAAAGGAATTGTGCAGAAGTTTTAAATAAAGTGAATTTTTGAAATACATTCATACATACATACATATAATAAATTTTAAGTTCGACTAAGAATGCCAGCGATATGACGTGAATATAAAACACATAAACTGCGCCAACAAACTTACCATTTACATATAGACATCGTCTTGTTTATACATACATACTATTCTTGCATACATAAATATATGTACATGTAATTGTAGTCGAAATGGTTTACAACAATTTTAGAATTTAAGTAACTTCATTAAAATGAATGGATTTTGTAAACTCATACATATGTATTTATGAATAAAGAATTCATGTGTTTGTATATACATAAATACATCAATACATTTGTATATACATACATTTAAGAATATTAAAAAAAATCAGCCTTATCATGGGTTTCATTTTCCGCGAACCGGTTCACTTTATACTTTTCGTTTCCATGTAAATACTATAGGCGGATGAAAAATTTTCGGGTGAATTTTTTTCGGGCGAAACCTAGGATAAGGCAGAATAAAATAATCCAAAATTCATCGGGGAATTTGGCGCGTCAGTGAGAAACATTCAGATATGCCAGAACAGTCGGGGGAAATGGATAAACCAAGGTGCGTCAAGTGTATAATATTAAATTAAAAAATTCTAGCAATGGGAATTCCCTTCGCACATATGTATGTACATACATTAGACTGCATCACTCCCCGTACAAAAAAAAAATCGGTATTGTTTTTCCACCGGAATTATAAAATCAATTATATTTTAATGACCTTATTCATAGAAAATAAAGTAGCTTTAAAAAAGGTTTATAAACTGAAAAATGTATGAAAACGTCATTTTATAAAGTTATTTATTTTTTATGAATAAGGCCATAAGACTTTCACCGAAATATTTCGGAAAAATATTAAGATTTACGTGAGCTGCACCGATTTGAAAGTACCTGCAAAAATTGAGTTTTTGTGAATATAACAGTTTTTAAGCATTTTTTGCAAAAAATTACCTTAGATGCCAAAACAGTTTAACCTTAAAAAATTTGCAGAAAAGTATTAAAAAAAGCTTCAAAGGAATAATTAAATATTTGATGCTGTTTTTGAACTTTTTTCAAAAAAAAACTTGAATAACCCAGCCTAAACTTTACCAAGTTAGACTTATGAGGAATCATTGGAAAGGAATTTTCTCAGCCTTTTTTATTTCTTTGCAAATAAGCTCAATCAAAGCACGAAAGAGAAAGGTAAGACAAACGAGCCTAATTCCATGTTGAATTAAGATGTGTGATAGTTTTGGCCCAGTTATTCAAGTTTTTCTTAAACAAATCTTTGAAAAAAAAGTAAAAAAAAACATCAAAAATCGAATTATTATGCTTCCGTTGAAAAAATGTTTGAATATGTTTATGCAGATTTTTAAAGCTTAAACTGTTTTGTCATATGATGGGATGTTTTCCAAAAAATCTCTTAAGAAACTATTTTTATTCATAAAGAAACTCCATTTTTGGAGGTACTATTTTCCAATCGGTCCAGCTCACGTAAATCTTAATTTTTTTCCGAAATATTTTGGTGGAAGTCTTAAAATATAATAAATTTTGTAATCTCGGCGAAAAATCCGCAACTTTTTTTTTGGTGATGCAGTCTAATGTGTATACATATGTATGTGTTTTAAATTTGTAATTTTTGTAGATATTTTACCATATACGAACTTCGGTTGCAAATGGCTTAATTAATACTAAGCATTAAATTTCTATGACAAAATTTTATTTTAAATAGCGTAACACCTGAATTAATAACAATGCTATTTTGACTTATTGACATTGACGCTGGTAGGTAATAGGCGGCATACACAGTGCGTCTGACTCGTGAGTCGGTTTGGATGTGTTTGTGAAAATAAATATGTGTTAGTTACATCAACATGACTCCCGTCATGACTCTGAATGATTCAACTGTGTGTAGTTGAAGGCGAGTCAACACGTACACAAATGACTCGCGAGTCAGACGCACCGTGTATGCCGCCTATAAGACACTTGTGTGTTGCACTTGGTTTTTCCAACAACACTTTATTAGGTATGCGTAATCAATCAAACCCTTCAAAGAGAAATACATATGTAGTAACCCAGTCAGAAAAATATAAAAAAAAATTTACCGTCATTTCGTTTTACAGCAGTGGGGTCTACGTAACCGGAAGGACCCAGATTATATCCCCAAAAACCCTTTGTGGAATTTGTATGATGTAACAAGAACCACAACAACATATCGTCGCTGAAATGCAAAAAGTCGTAACTAATAAAAAATTCAAAATTCATTTCATCGATTGGAGTTATACCGTGATTCATTAATTAAAGGCTTGCTCACTAGTGGCATTAGAGTTTTGTCACTCCCTTACAAAAGCTTTGCACACACACACGAACCCACTCACAGTGCCTTGCTAGGGGAACCAATTTTGTCAAGAGGGAGCGAGAAAACTCTTTTCTGAGCAAACCTTTTATTATTGAATCATGGAGTTATGTCACATCGTTTTATGAAAAAAAATTATTAGTCACGATTTTTTCCATTTCAATGGCGATTTTTGATACGTCTTTTTGCATTACAGAGTTGGTCAGAGTTTAATAACCTTCTGATTCAACTTCGCTTATTTAGGAGTGGGAAAATTCTCAAAAAGTAACAATGAGGAAGTACAAATTCAATTTGGCTACTGGCCTGTTAACTTTATTTAGTTTCCGCTGCTTTGGAAACACATCATCTTGCTTTTGAATTGCAGAGATATTTCAAGTTCGAATAAAAGGTAAAATTTAACCGGAAATTAACCTCAGTTTTTGTTGGTATTCTTAATCGATAGTCAGTTGAATTTCGTAACGCTAAGGCTTAACCGTGACAAAGTTTGCGGTACAGTCACTGACTACCTCTTTGATCTTTCAAAAGTCTTCATTGCCTGAAGCCTGGACAGCTCTGCCGCGAAATTTGCCGCCGCACTCTTCACCGCATAGACCAAGGAGATTAGGTTAGAACTTGAAGTTTACGTCGATGGCGTTAAAATATCAAGATTTTCTTTAGTTTTTTTTCCTTCTTATCAAGTCGCTAGCCTGTAGCACCTGGGAAGTCGAAAAAGGACCCTACTAGCAACGAGAAAGGCGATCGCCTGGTTGGTGGTAAACGATACAGGGTCAGTATAGTCAACAGAGCAGAGCGACACAGAGTCATTTCCACGACAGCCGGTTCACCGCATCGTAATGAGTCGGATTTTTTCTCGACCTATTGTTTTGGCGACCTAACACGGTTTAGTGCGGCGAACTCCATCAATCTTATTTCCTTCATAGAGTAACTGCTTGCAGCAGGGTTGTTACATCCTACTTCTCTCAGCTGGCATTAAATCCAACCTCGGATTAGAAACCTTCTGCTGATTATACCAGATACGACTCCATGCGAACTCCACTTCGGTTTTATGCACCCCCTGCAACGGATGCAGCCACTTAAGAACCTGTTCAGACCTTTGTTCACACAGGGGGAGGACTACGGGGTATGAGGCCCCATGCTGCTTAAGCCATACGCCACCATTTGTGTGCATGGCCTCTGACTTCCACAGAGGGCCCCTCGGCTTTACGGAGCTCACGAGAGCAACATATCGACTCCTTAAGTCTTCTCCCCACTACCAGAAGAGGATATACCGGAAAGTCGCATCCGGCAAATGCAATTGCTGCCTTGAATGGTGACACTTCCGACTGGCCTGCGCAGCACCTGTGAGTGGACAAGTGACTTCAGGTCCAAGGTAGATTACCCCACTTATTCTTCAACCCTCGCATAGCGACCAGCCTTCCTAGTGACCTGTTTTCCGGCAGGATTTTACACTGACATAAGTACGTTCCTTAAAGCTGCGAATGGTATGGTGGTAGGTGACTTTAACGCGCACCACACTGAGTAGATAGACGATGCGACATTTTGCATAATGAACAACGACGCCCCACCGGGGTTGTGGGTGGCTGCAACATATCATTAAAGTTAACAATAGCCCACCGACTTAACTTCGCGGACCACCGTACCTAAGTATTTCATCTGCTTCGCGGAAGTTACCGAGAGTACCCACGCTGCCCTTTCAACACCTACAAACGTACATGTTGGTGAACGTCAGCAATGTAGTCACTGCTGTAGCGACTGTCTTCATCCCGTCTGGATGTACCAACCCGACGAGACGTGATGAAAGAGTGGAAACTTTCCACTTGAAAGTTGCCGTTAATAACTTTCTGTCCTCCGCGCCCATAACCACAGTTGTCAACATAGTGCGAAGTCCTCAAGTCACCAAGCCGACATCACTAGTTGCATGATAGGATGCCTTTTAGATGTCGCTTGAACACCACCTGTATAATGGGGCATCTATGCTTATAGTCAGGGAATGCAACCTAGTTTTAAGCAAGCAGTTT